TATCGAGGTACAAAGGGAGATCATCCACCAGATTGCTCTAGAATCCAAATCTAATGAAGAACACCAAGAGAACTCGTGGTGGCTGCTCCTGTGATAAAACTACTCTTAATATTTCGGCATATCCCTAACAAAAAGCTAAAAACAAATATATATAGGTCTAGGGTCTTCTAGGATTTATTTTAGGGCAAAACGGTCTTTTACATCAAAAATCTTCTCCAAGTCGGTTTGGCAATGTCGGCCAAGGAACACAACCGGTATTGGGTCCAAAGTGCCTTGATTTGTGCTGATATTTACCTGGAATATCGGTCCACGAGGCGGTCCGGTATTTTGGTCGATTTTGCACTTGCTCCGTTTCTAAGGCAGCTTGACGTGTCTTCGGTAAATCCAGTGTATTGTCCTGCTCACAGCTCCAATTGAGATGATTCAAACTTTATTGTAAAGTTGACTCAAGATCTATCTACACACTAAGTTTCATCCAATTCCAAATCGATTTGATCCTCCGTTCACTGCTGAACTTCTGGCGTATACGTTCTGTCCAATTTGGTAGAATGTTGTTTCTTGTGAAATTTTGGTTCTTTGATGGTGTCTTTGGCTTGTGAAAGTTGTTGTGGCTTGGTTTACACCTATTTTGGCTCTTTTAGATCATTTTTGCTTGATTTCACTGTAAAGACTCTAAAACTACAAATGCGAGAAAAACTACCTTTAAAAGTATAAAACCGTAGATAAATGCATAGAAAACATAGTAAAATAGATAATAATATAGGTAAAATATGGGACATATCATCCCTCCACCCAGTACGTGCCTCCGCCCCTGTCGTCAACTCTTTGGTTCTTGCACCTTTGAAGAGGATAGTGTAAAGGCGAATGTGGTGGCTCAGGAAATCTCCAAAAGTGTAACTAGAGATGGTCGTCTTCACTCTTACCTCGCCTAGAGCTGTCAATTGGGCTTGCCCGCGACCAATTGGGACTGCCCGTGTGGACAATTTTTTTTATGGGCTATATATGGTCTAACCCATATGGGATGCGGACAAATATGGTCTTCGCCCATCTAGACAGAAGACAAAACCATTTGGACATGGACCATCTAACTTATATATTAACTTTTATATTTTGTTATTTGATTACGATTAATTTTTCGCATATTTTTAAATTACTATTTTTTTATTC